ACTGGCACTCCTTTGAGCACCATTTCCAGTCCTAGCTGCTCCATTTCAGATTCCCTGATAATGTGCTTGATAAGGCAGAAGATGGCCTAAGTGCTTGGGGTGCTACATTCATATGGGAGACTCACATGAGACTCCTGGCTGCTGACTTCAGCCTGGTCCAGCCCAGCAACTGTGGCCTTTTAAGGAGTGAACCAGGGGGTGAGTGTCTCCTCCTTCGTATATAATAGCCAGGACTCAAACTAGTGCCTAGATGGGATCTGGTCTTGCAGGTGGAGGTTTAACCGGATGCTATGGGCTGGTCCCAACTCTGATTTTTTTAAAATTTATTTTTAAAAGGGATTTATTTTATTTGTTTGAAAGGCAGAGTTAGAGAGGAAAAAAAAAGAGATATTCCACCCATCCAGGTCACCCACATGACAGGAAGGGGCCCAAGAACTTGAGCCATCTGCTGCTTTCCCAGGCACGGTAACAGGTGCAGGAAGTATAGCATCCTGGACTCAAACAAGTGCCCAGAGATGGGATGCTGGCATCAAGAATTAACCCACTGTACCACAGTGCCAGCCCAAAGGTATGATTCTTTGTTCCTTACTTTTAATATTAACTATTGATGAAAATATACTGGTTATCTATGACATTAATAGGGAAGTGGGGCAGAAGGATTAGAGAAGACATCAGAACACACTAGATGTTGTTAATAAACAGTTATTCACTGTGTAGCCATTTTGAAAGAAGGAAAGCTCTAACACACCTAACCATTCCCAAAGAAATTATTTTGTGGGGAGGGAAAATGACACAGCAGCTGGGATGCAGCCTGGGACATACGCATCCCACATGAAAGTGTCTGGTCTTAATCCTGGACCCTTCACTTCCAGGCCGGTTTCCTGACAGTGTATAACCTGGAGGCAGTAGGTGAAGGCTGTCCTCAGATTTAACTTGGACTGAGGTTTGAACTCTCGAATTCGGTCCTACCCAGCCCTGGCTGTCATGAGCATCCAAGGGGTGAAACCAACACCTCTATTTTTTTCTTCTTTTTTTTTCTCTCTCTCTTTCAAATAAAATGGAAAGAAGCAGAAATTTGGGGGGGGAAAAGTTTATGTGTGAATCTGAAATTGTGAGGTATGTGTTTTAAATGCACTTGAGAAATTATTAGAAAAAAAATCTAGTTTGGCCACAATATTCACTTCTTGAGGGAAAGAAAACACTCTTATTTTTGTAATTGCTCCAATTAACATGTTGAGTACCTAAAGCAATTAACATTTTTGTCTAGGTTTGATCAAGAACCTTATTGCAATCATGTCTTAGTAGCGATCAGAGGGCTAAGTGGTCTACACGCCATGACGCCACATAATGAACAAGTAAATCTATGTTTGAAGATGCCAGAGACTCAAAAACTAGCAATCGAGGTGCCCCTGGCACCTGGAAAATATATCACCCCAGATATGTTTGTGACATTCTCTGTCAAGTGCATTGACGTAGAATGCAACACTGAAAAATGAGCCACAGCACAATGATCCATATTTCACATAGAAGAGAAACGTGGTTTTCTGAAAGATGCAGAATTGGATGACCAAACTACAAAAAATTTCTGACTCTAAGCAAAACCCAAGTGTCACCAGCATTATCCTCACCAGTGTGAGCAGTATCTCCATTGTGACTGCTGCCTTCCATGTGGCCACATCATTAGTATGATTTTGGGTACCCAAGTGTCACCATCTCCAGCGTGAGCAGTGCTGATCAGTGTGACCAATGGCTGCAGTGTAAGCAGCATCACCAGTGTGACCAGTATCCCCTGTACGACCCATGTCACCATGCCCAACATGAGCAGCATCTCCAGTGTAACCATTATTTCTCGCATCCCATGTTACCAGTTTACAGGGGATAGAAAAATTCAACAGGAATTGTTCTTCTAAGTTATCTATGGACAATGGGAGAAAAGTGTATTCACTGCTGATATTTTGAGGCTGATTTTTATCAAGGAAATTGGTGGATGTCTTAGTCTATTTTCAGTCGCTGTAACTGAATAACACAGTCTGGGTAATTTATAAGGAAAATGAAATTGAGGGGCTGCATCTGATGAGGGTTTTCTGGCTGAAGGGTGAAGGGAAACTCTGCAGAGTCCTGACATGGTATGTGGCAGCTCATGTGGAGACAGAAAACGTGTGTGAGCTTGGGTCTCTCTCTTCCCTTTCTTATGAAACCACTAATCTAATCCTGGGATTCACATTCTCATGGCTTCACGAAGACCTCAATTCTAAATATCATTAACATGTTATGTTGAGGATTAGGTTTCAACATGAGTTTTGGAGGCAACATACCTGTAGACCACAGCAATGGATTTTGTTTTCCTTATTGACAAAATAAAAAAAAACCCTAAGCTAGATATCCTATATCATGCTTGATCTCCATAAATGACACTCCTGAAGTATGTGCTGAGTTAGGAATTCATAGAATCAGAGAAAGCAATATTGATTCCAGCCGGGGATAACAATGGAGTACAGAAAAAGATTTTCACTTCTTATTTTGAATACTTTTAAGAATTGCCATGTGATACCACATTTGTTTTAATGTTTATGGCATTTTTAATTGCATCATATTTGATGATTTGGTGTTTTGTCATTTTTCATGTAAACAGGAGTAAGGCTACTGTGCAGATTTAATAAATTATAATCTGCTATTGTTACCTTAACCATAGTGCTTCTATTTCTGCCTTGTTTATGCTCCGTGATAAATAAGTCAGTTCCCTTTTTTAAGAAGAAAAATTGTTTATTTTCAAGACAGAACAGACTTATAGAGATAAAGAGAGAGGAGAGAGAGAGAATCTTCCACCCAACTTGTTCACTTCCCAAATGGCCACAGTATCTGGGTTTGGCTCAGACAGAAGCCAGGAGTCTGGAGCTCCGTCTGGGTTCCTCATGTGGGTGGCAGGAACCCAGGTGTTTTCAGCATCTTGTGCTGCATCTCCAGATGCATCAACACGAAGCTAGACTGAAAAGGAGGCAGTCTGAACTGAAACCAGGATCCAATGGGATGCTGGCTTTGTAGGCAGCCAAATCAGTCCCTTCTAACTACACATAGCAGATGCAGCCATGAATTGATCAAGTGGGTTAGAGAAACACTGGCTCCACTCTACCAACTGCCTGTTGCCTTCAGTCCCTGTGGTGCTTGAGGGAAAGCAGTGCCATTGTCCTTTTAAAATGTGTTCAAGTTACAGAATGCTCAAGTTGGGAAGAAGATTGAAGGTTCAAGCAGTCTCACTCACCAAAAGATGAGTGGCCCAGAAAGTGCTCTGTTTTTGATTGGATCAACTGATTTGCTAACTCACTGAATCCATGGTGGGACAACAGATCAGCGTAATAGATGTTCTGTTTTGACCTCTGTCTTTTGGAAGAACGGTGCAGCCTCTCTGCCAAGAAGTTTAAATGTTAACACGAGCCTAGCTGACAAGACCAGGAAACCTAGCCATGTCTGAGGAGCCAACTCCTGAGAAAGAAGGAAGCACTGTTGTAATAGAAGCATTTATCCCAACGTTCCGTTGACTTGTAAATGCTTAAAATCGTGCCTTCCTGTCTAGAATCCCATGTGCAAACTGTGGCCTAGCAAACTCACAGAATTTTCTTCCTCAGTCTTAGGATTCCTTCTAAGTTCGAAGGCATTACAAACTTCCAAAATTGAAACATCTACCAACCCCATTCTCAGACTCTCTTTGGTTCCATTGTCTTAAGAGCTAAAATTTGGACTGGAAAGGTGGGACTGATTCCTAGGAGAAAGAAATGAAGCTGGACAGCTAGACTTTGCAGGAACTCACACTACACAGCACTTGGGAGCATTCAACGGGATGGAGTCCAAGAGTTGGCAGTCTGTGTTTTCTGTGTTGATATGGGAATGAGGAAGTGAGAACCAGAATAAATCAAGAAAAATACATATTCTCTGTCAAGACATCAGCCTTGCAGAGTAGAATATGTGGGACCAGTACCATGGCACAACAAGCTAAGCCTCCACCTGCTAGCATCCTATATTGGTGCCAGTTTGTGTCCTGGCTGCTCCATTTCCAACCCCCCTCCTTCGCTGTGGCCTGGAAAAGCAGCAGTGAATGGTTCAATTCCTTGGGCTCCTGCACCTAATTGGGAGACTGGAAGAAGCTCCTGGCTCCTGTGGCCATGTGAGGAGTGAACTTTTAAAACTCCATTTCTTCTTTCTGTAGATCTGCCTTTCAAATAAAAATAGATAAACCTTTTAAAAAGAGCAGAATGTGTGAGGAAGCACAACAGAGGAAAGGTTCTTGAAAAAGTCTAGTCTTTTAGAGGACTTAAGTTATTAGGACTTTAGAAACTCTGCTTCAGTCAGTGATAAAGGAGTTTGGTAAGGATTGGTGATCTAATACTTTTCTTTTACAGTCTGCATGATTTTTTCAACATTGCTAGTGAAAAAAATGATAGGTATTCAGTGAGAACTGTGATTGCAATTTTGAATTTTAATTTTTCCCCAAGCCGGCAATGGTACTCTCTCAGATGCTAGGTAATAGCCGAAAGCCACACTTCCCAATCAGCCACGTGGCCTCAACAGCCCATAGTCTATAGTGTGTTCTTACAATGTGACGTTTAGTAAGCTAGATATATTGAGTTCAGTTTGTAATGTACTGTTTGGCATGTGATCCCATTGTAATCTAAGGAGCATTTGCTAATAAATCATACATGCCCAAACCCTGTTCATAAGTACTTCAATGCCATTGATTAAACAGAAAGCAACAGGGATGCCATCCTCATCACATTTACAGTGCATGTTCCAGTTCTCCATTCATTTCTAAGATGTCAGCAGGTACTCTGGCTCTGTTGCCATATCTGCATGTCGCAGGCGAGTTTCACAAAGCTGTCTTATCCTGCACTTAAACATCAAGGACCTTCTTTTGAAGTGGTTATACAGAGTTCAGGCCTTCCACCCTACCCCAAACCTAAAGTGATGAAGAAGTGACTCTCCACACAGCCTCTGCTTCTCTTTTACAGGTGAAGGATTCCGCCCAGCAGCCCCAGATGGCATTCACTGTCCGCCATGCCACGGTTACCTTCCAGACTGAAGGGGACACGTGGAGAGAACAGAAGGATCAGAGAGCGGCTCTCATGGTGGGCATTCTCATTGGGGTGTTCGTGCTCTGCTGGATCCCCTTCTTCATCACGGAGCTCATCAGTCCCCTCTGCTCCTGTGACATCCCTGCCATCTGGAAAAGCATTTTCCTTTGGCTTGGCTACTCCAACTCCTTTTTTAACCCCCTCATCTACACAGCCTTCAACAAAAACTACAGCAGTGCCTTCAAGAACTTCTTTTCTAGACAACATTGAGTATGAGTCCTTGTTAAAAAAAAAAAAAAAAGAACTCTCAAAAACCCAGCGAGATGCCCAGTTTCATCTCTTTCTGCGCCTCCACTCTAGAGAGCTCCATGAAAGAGATGAATCCTTCAAGTACTGCAAGATCATCTTTGGAACCAAATCAGCGTCACTTCTGCATGCGGATGAAGGAAGATAAGGTTTGACAGGCAGTTTGGTGACCTCATTTATCTGATCTATTTACTCTCCCTCACCCCACACTAACAGCCACGGAGTTTGTCCACAAAGTGCCCTTTCCTCCAGCAAAGCTACTCCAGGATGGAAGTCAAAACAGGTCAGATGGGAAGGAGGAGGCAAAACAACATGGGCTGGTTGGGAGTAGGTGGCAGAAGTAAGAGATGGCAATGGGGATATCTGGAAATAGCAGATCATAATTCCAAATTTTCTGGAACAGTCTGTTCTTCTGTGTGGTTCTAGTAGGCATACCTTAACACTCACTGGGTATGTCCCAATATTTGACCACTAAGTATTGTCTTCAAACATGTTAAGGCACAAAGTTCCATCTGTAAGACCAATGAATACTGGTGTTCATGTAAGGTATGCTAACTGACCAATTTACTACAAAGTGCAGCCCATGGACTTGGAACAAGCACTAAGAGCCAAAGTAAATACTTCCTTCCATTGTAAACTGTCTGTAAATGCTAGAAAAATCTACCAGTTTGGGTTTATCTATCAAACTTGCTTATTTGTTATGTGTTTCATGTACGTGAACTTACATTCAGACATTCCTAGTGAAAGCCTTTGTTTCAGATCATAGCTGTCAGGAAGTTATGGATTTTTTTCATTATTATTTTCCATGATATGGTTTTGTAGTTATAAGGCTTCCCTCCTCCACTTCCTTACCTCCCTCCCCATTCTTCCCCCTTGCCACACCGTTTCCTCCATATTATTACAATAGCATAGTCATTCAGCAATAGTCACGAGTCCAACATTCCACTATTTAAATGAATCATGGCATCGTAGGTACAGGTATAGTAGAAAATCTACTATCATATTGTCAAAGTATATTCAGTAGTTTCATTGGGAATCTTCCTTTTATTTGGGAGTGAAGATGTATACCGTAATGTGTCTTCACTTCCTGATATGCTGGTCTCCATTATACAATTCATCTATGAAAATATATGTGTATATATATATATGTTTGCCTATATATTTGTTTTGTACATTGCATGAATGTTGCCTTGTATCAGAGAGAATATATAATATTTGTCCTTTTAGGATTGCCTTATTTCACTAAGCTTAATGACAGGGTAACTTTTTGTGACTATTGTGTGGAATCTTTGCAGATGGGTTCCCAGATAAAGAGATACTTCTTATTAAGAGGGAAAAATAGTGGGGTTATTAAAAAAAAATCCCTAAAGTCGTATAAACTTAAAAGTGTTTCTTCCATCAACTAAATGTGTAACTGCTATCATCCTAAAGAGTTTTTGACTACAAATAAAGGAGGGGGTGGATTTTTACCCTGGTGTGTAAGACCCTGATTGGGACACCTGTGTGCAATATTAATCTCTCTGGCTTTGACAACTGCCTGCGGTTCTTGGCTCCAGATGACTGCTAATGCAACCCCTGGGAGATGGTGCTGATGCTGGATTTCTGCCACCCAGGGGGGAAACCTGGATTGAACTCCCTACTTAGCCCCACCCAACTCACAGTTGGGGACAGCGTGTGAATCAAGAAATGGGAGCTCTCTGTCTGTCTCTACTTCTCAAATAAATCATTTTCAAAAATTGAGAACGTTTTTCAAAGCATCAAGACCCACTGTCTTAGTACACTAGCCTCGGCAGATCGGGCCCTTTACAAGAGAGGGCTCAGTGCGAATACACGCTTTTTCACCTGTGCCAGTTTGAAAAGTAAACAAGGATAGCTTTCCATCTAAAAGAAAAAAAAAATACCTGGCCAATCTATGAAACTGCTTCCTAGAACATAATTTTGCAAAGTTAATTGCTTAACTAAGGGCTTTTTACCTTAATCAAAACTTATAGAATGGACAAGGATTGTTCTACTTAGTCTGAATTCTGTGAGAGCAATGCTAGCAAAATGTTCAAAGGTCATGTAAATTCTGAACTATTCAAGTAAATAATCATAGCCCTTTAATCAGGAGTCCTCAACAATTACAAATCTTATCCATTTAAAAAAATCCATGTATTTGAAAGAGTAACAGGAGTTAGGAACTCAACTTCCACATGGGTAGCAGAGGCCCAAATACCTGGGCCATCTTCTGCTACCTTCCCAGGGAGCTGGGTTGGAATCTGAGTATCCAAGACTGGAACTAGTGCTCCAATTTTGTTTGTTTTAAATGTTATTTTTGATGATGCTAACATAGTTGATCAGGGTGGGAAGGGTTGAGGATCAGGAGAAAGTGGGAAAGACCATTGTTTAGACATTTTCTTTTTCTTTTTCCTGTATCTGTGGCAGGGATACAAAAGAAGAAACCCTGCCCAGCCTCCCGAACACCTCAGGACCTAGGGATGGGGAATAGCCATCAGATGTCATCCCAGGGTTCCCAATGTGGAGCGTTTCCTGAGGGTTCCGCTTATGTGGTTTCAACAATTTTGAGATGCTCTTTGTATTGTTATTTCAATGATGAGGAAATCTTTCCAAAGTCCACTGGCTGACATGGTCCACCTCTGAGTATCTCATTTGCCAGAAGTTTACTGTGAAGCTTTGCTGGGGTAGTTGATCAATTTGTTTTATCCTTTTTCCTCTGCAAGCTGATAGGTGCTGTGGCCCAGCCCAGCCCTACCTACCACATGCTCAGCCCTCAGATACTTCAGCCCAGTCAGAGGGACCTGCAATAACTCCCTGGACCAGCCCCCAACACTGGTTCCTTTGCCTGCCAGCATATGCAGTTGACTGGTAAAGTCTGTCCCATATTCCATTCAGCTCTCATACTCATCAATGGATGTTGGAGCCTAGTTCGAACCAACCGTCCCCACTAACCAGCCCACACTCATGCCAGTGGGTACCACCAACATCTAGCCAGGCCTGCCCCCAAACCTGGTTCTCATGCTCTCCAGTGGGAATGCAGCCCATTGTAGAGGTGCCCACTGTTTCCCTGCTAGATTGACTCCCGGTTGCAGATCTTGCACTATCCAGGTAACTCTGCAGTGTACCTTGACACGACTTGCCCCCAGTCTCAGCACTTGTCAGCTAATGATGCAGCAAGGCCCAACCAGCCTGCATTTACTCTGGGCATGCATATACCAGTGGATACATTTGGTTAGCCCAGTCTGGCTCTCTCCTTAACTCAGTTCACATGTAGGCCAACAGGTGTTGTGGCCTTGCCCAGCCTGCCCTGTCCCCAGTCCCAGCTCTCATGCTCACCAGAAGAAGCAGTGGCCCAGCAGGGGAGTTCCCATTACTCCCGTATCAGCCTTGCACACCTTCCCCCTGGACTTGTGTGTGCCACAGGCCAGTATGGCATGGCTCGAATCACCTGACATTTGCTGGCAGGTGGGGTAACCTGGTCTGGTCCAGTCTTCCCCCGCTCCAGCTTGCGCTGGCACATGCTTAGTGCACCAATTGATGATGCCAGCGTCACAAATGGCAGCAAAGTCAACAAGTTGTGTCACAACATGGGCCTCAATTATAAATCTTAAGAAAAAGAATAACAAAAATTGGAGCAGAATTATTCCTTTAATTTTTAAAGTACTTTTTAGTGAATTTCTACTGGGTTTTGTGCTAAACATATTTACATAATTTCTTTTATTCTATTCTTTCTACCCCAAACAATTCTGACATCCCTAGCATCATCTTTCCACATTTGGTGAGTTCACTTATGTCAAATCTCAGCCTAAAAAAGCAAACATTGGTCGTTAGTAAAAAAAAAAAACATGTAACATAATCTTGGGCAATAAATCCTTTTTGTCTGATTCTTTGCATGAATTTAAAAATTATGTATTATAATGAACTATCATTTACACAGAATAATATATTTGTATTACATTGTATATAATAAATTATAGTAAGATTTCAAAAATGGGGAAGTTGTGATTTTTAGGGTGGTTTGGGTTTGAAGTTGAGCCTTTAATTTACTGCAAAGGCTGTCTTTATCCATGGAATGCGAACAGAAAGGAAATGTGGCCATCTGTGAAGTCCTGGCTTACATGCTAAATGCATTCATGCCCTTTTATGGAAGAATTTACTCAGAAACATTATTTGAGTTTTCATGTTTCTGTATAGATACTTGAAATGCTGATAATACAAATATAAATACTAAAAAAAAATGCATACTGTTTACTTACTCACTTGTCCCCACTATTACTTGGAACCAGCAAAACCACCAAATGTTGTTAGATTTTACTGTTATAAAGGAAGTGCTTCAAACACTTCAGAGAGTACTCTGTGAAAGAAAAGAAGAAACTTGGATATGTGGTATCTGGGGATGAGATACCAGAATCAAGGGTAATTTTTTTTAATCCACACAAATTTTTGTAATCCTCATTTGTATTCATTTTTTAAAATTATGTATATGAAAGATAGAATTACACAGAGAGGGAGAGGCAGAGAAAAATTTTCCATCTGCTGCTTCATTCCCCAAATGGCCAGAACTGGGCCAGTCCAAAGCCAGGAGCTAGGAAGTCCTTCTGGGTCTTCCACAATGGATGCAGGGGCCCAAACACTTGGACCATCTTCTACTGCTTTCCCAGGTGCATTGGCAGGGAGCTGAATGAGAAGCAGAGCTTGAGTCAGTGTCTGTATGGGATGCTGGTGCCACAGTGCTGGCTCCTGTCCTCTTTACTGTTAAAATGGAGGTTCCTTCCCGGTGAAAGTGAAGCTTAAGAAAGGTGTGCCACATCTGCCAGGTGCCTTTATGAGCTTCCAGACTCCCTTCCACCCCCTCAGAGCTCTGTAATCCCTCCATGAAGAAACATATTGCGGCACTCACCTCATCCAATTCCTAATTGGATTTCTTCTTTTTTCTCTCTGTTTAAATAAACTTTATTTTTGATGATG